TACCAGTTAACTATACTGGTGCTTACATGTAAATATACCAGTTAACTGTACTGGTGCTTACATGTGAGGGTGAAGAGGTGACACTTCTTCAGATTGTGTGTGTGCTGTAATTTAGTGAACATTTCTTCTAGTGTGGTTGTAAATCTGATGCTAATGAAACCTGCACATGCTGCTCCTGATATATGTAAAATGTAGATTGTATAAAAATTATATTTGCTGCATTCATTGTTTGAAATATATTTACAGTTGAATAAAAACTTGCAAGTGGTTGTTTTTTTCTCCTTTAATAAAAATCAATGTGGTAAACATTCATGAAACATTTGATTCATCACTTCAGGGAACATGTAAACGTGATGAACTTGATCACATTTGTAGTAAATATTTGATGTATTAACATGTTTCAGGTAAGAAATAAACATGTAATGAAACAGATCCTATTATGAAGTAAACATTTTATGTAATTAAACGTTTCTAGTAACAAACGTGATGAACATTGTGTGAGGTAATACATTTCATAGAAAACTGCTACACAAAATGTTCAAATATAAGTTAACAGCACGATTTACATATTTATGTCTTCCTTGAAGCTGCAGCACAAACGTGCTCTGAGAAATATCTTTCAGAAGCTTCGTGCTTTCTGGAGACGAGCTTCACACAATTCCTGTTCTGGAGACACATGGACAACAGCCATGTCTTTCTGGGTCCACACAAGGTCACAGTGGTTTGATGATGTACCTGTGCAGAGTATGGATGATGTGTCTTCAGGTGAACTTCACTGCCTGCCTCCACGAACTGCTGGATGCTGCATGTCCTATGTTTGTAAGGAAACTTTCTCCTGGCAGCAGCGATCACACATTGAGTCCATCAGGAGATGATCCAAGATCAGGGAAGTTGGTGTTTATGATGAAACCACATTTCACTTTTAGATTTTTGTACTGCTAGCTGTAATTTTAATGTAGGCCTTTGGAGCAACATCCTCATGATTCACACTCTGTTTTGTTTGCAATGAGTAGACACAGTGATATATATATATATATATATATAT